TGTTGAAAGTAACCACTCAACTTTGATTTCAGAACTTCAATATTGAAATATTTGAATGAAGTAAAATTGTTAAAATATACAATATCTGTTTTTTTCTGGCTTTCTTCTGAATTAAAAATAACTTTATTAGTTGTAAATATTACTTTGTACTTAATAGCAAGTTGTATACTTATGACCGTCCGTGGCAGGTGCTGGTGGTGGAGGACCTTAAATGGAGCCTCCCTCTCTACTTCCTCCTCAAGTGGTGATGCGAACAGCAGCGGCTGCTGGTGGAACATCAAGTGGACTTCGTCTCTAATTCGTCTTTCCTTTACAATCTCTTTAGGAATAAAGAATGAATAATTACTTCTCTGTCTACGGCTACATTATGCGTGTGTGATGGCCTTCGTCTGCCGGCTTTTTGTATCCGCTTGCCTGATATTGAGAGCTATCGTCAGTAGACGGAAGGTTGAACGGAAAACCTAGTTTGCCTGCTGCAAATCTTGTGGCTTTTATTCTCATGAACTTTTTCATTTGGCGTAATCAGCTGATTTTTTCAGGCCTTAATCAAGTATAAAATCAATAGCCGAATCTTGAAACCTTTCAATGGTCCATGATATTTTGCAAAACGTAACTTACATTGTCATAAATTTCGTTATCCTAATTTATCTTTTAATTCTCTTCAATATTCTTGTTTTATTTGAGTTTCATTTAGCTGTAAGTGTTTTATTACATAAATAATTATTCTATTACGGTGTGATGTTTTAGAATTATTTACTATATTGCAGTGTTAAAAGTTCTTGGCCCAGTCATACAAGTTGCTGCGTTTTATCTCTATCTCCGTGCGCTGGTGTTACTCTGTATGAGACCAACCATCTCACCATCACTTCATTGTTATCTTGTATTGCTTCACCAAGTCTACTTGTTTGCAATGCATGGTATACTATATGCATTGCATGATATATTGCTCTTTTCTCCGTTATATAATACAGCTTCTGCTAGACTGTACCTATATTCTTTTATGCAAATATTTTTATTATAGAATATGGTATGTTGAAGCTCTTAGGTTCTGCCGATGAAACGCCATAATTATAGCCCAAATCATGGTGTCGTCCTGAGCCTGGCAAAGCAAGCTATTTCAGTCAGGGAGCCTGGTGGCTGACATACGTTTTATTTCTTGGTTATTTATACGAAGGGCGTTAAGGATACGAGTAATTATGTTGGTTATACCCTCGGTATTGTTGTGAACCGACAGATTGACGTTTATTGATTGGTATAAACTCGCGTGACCAGAACTTTTTGGTCTAGGCAAAATATTGCTAAGCGAATAGGCTGGTGCGATGCATTGCATATTCTCAACTCTTATTGTTTGTCATTGAATCGAGTCTCATTGCGAATTACCTAATAATAAATTTAATATATTATAATATATTTATATAAAAATTTATTATTTTCTTCTAAGTCGATTTAAGTTTGAATTTTAACTATGTTTGCAAAGAAGCAGCTTTAATCTATGCCAAACATTAGCCCGGAGATTGTCTCCTCTTCATTATCCACCCTTCAATATCAGTGTGTATTTTATGTGCCATGGAAAAATTTCACAGCCAAAATATCATTTTCCCGCCGCAAACGGCTCTCGCATTAAATTCTTTCTTTTTTGTTTCTAGATTTATTATTTGTTTCTATATACATTATTATTTGTTAAACTCAATCTGTAATCTCACGTGGGAATTTTCGCCCGTTTCCCATCTTCTACGGGAGCGGACAAGAAATGGAAATTTTAAAATGTAGGTACTTGGTTGGCACCCGTCATATGGACTGCGTTGCTGTCAGGGACTCCTACTCGTGCTTCTCCACATTGTTGCATACTGGGACTCGTGCTTCCCTACATTCTTACTTCTGACATCGTTGCATTGTGGGACTCCTTCTGTACTTCTCTACATTCTTAATTCTGACCTTGCTACAACTTGGGACTCCTACTGTACTTCTCTACATTCTTAATTCTGACCTTGCTACAACTTGGGACTCCTACTCGTGCTTCTCTACATCCTCTTCTGACGGCGTTGCTGTCATAAATTCCTGCTCGTACTTCCCTACATCGTCCACATTTTAGCGAGGATTCGTGTCCAGGAGCGTGGAACTGGAAACATTCAATTGAGCACTGATTTAAGTATTGGGTTTCATAGTTGCGTGAGGGTGATTGATTATGGTGTGCAACGATCAAAGCTGTATTTGATGAGTTTGATTACGCAAGTTATATGATGAATGATGATATCTGATGATGAATGATGCTGTCAGATGATGAATGATGATGTCAGATAATTGGAAAAACTACGATTTTGTCGATAGTTGGATTCTGATCTACTAAGAATTTATCCTGGTTGTCTGTTACAAATAAATCAGATTTTTATAGTCAGGGATCTCCTGTTATCTTCTCGTATTGAGTCTTATTAAATTTTGTATCGCTAATTTAGGCCTAATAGCATTCGCAAAAAGTCTCATATTTCCACATGAAGCATCATTAATTGTGTGCAGTCATGTTGATAAAACGGACTTAATGTGTTGAAGTGCTGGAACTGTGCGTGCCATTTCTTAGTCTTAATGTTCTAAAAATTGTGTTGGCGGTTTTGATGTATTGATGTTATTGTCTTTTATTGATCTTTGCATTAGATTAGTAGATTAGTTTCTACGACTATCTAGAAGTAGGAACTTTTAATAATCATTAGCTGGATTTCTTCTTGAAATGAGAATAGAGTCCCCCTGAACAATTAAAATTAGAATTTAGCATCTATTACGATGTAGTACCATTTGTAATGGGATATACTGGGATGTAGCCAGACTGCTTTACAAGGCACGGAGTGTTCAACTCGCCTTCATACAGAGAAATTTATCAGTATTTCTGAAGCATACAGTAGAAGGTTTACGAAAGTTCTTCACTCGGAACGTGTCATTAGAATCAAATAATTAATTTATTGTTCGTCACTTTCCAAAGAAACTGCGAGTTGAGTCATTATAAGAATTTAGCCGAATTTTTGGTGAACTCAAAGCACTGGAGCCCGAGAGCAGCTGTGGTCATCCTCTCCCTTGCTTACTACGAACGGACCAATCCTGATCAACGTAAACCTTGCCCCTCCATCTCTGACCAAACCCTATTATTATTATTATTATCATTATTACGAATTAACCCAATAATAATAATTAGGAATTTTTCCCTTAATTATTATCAATTAAGCCTTTATGTAAGCGCGACCTTCAGGCTCTCTTTTATTCCCCGCACCGGCGGCTGTAAAGCGCTTAGAGCTAAAATTAAATACATACCTAGCAAGCATGGAAAAGACAATAAAGTCAATTTTATTTTGTCTCTAATTTTTGAGCTGCCGCGTTGTGAAAAGCATACAAAAACATTCAAGCACATATCGGCTGACTGTACATAGGCCGTTAATTTCAATTATTAAAAGCACGTTGTACAAAAAATGATTAATCTGTTGGAAAACGGCTGGTTCATTTCAGTCAAAGTAACGCGTCCCGCACGGCAATCATTTCAGTGTCTCGGTAACGCGTGCCAATGTCTCCTCTTTTGCACTGAACGATAAAAGTTTGCCTCTTCATTTACCATGACAATCTCATCACCGTTGCATGATACTCGACGCGTTGTGATGACAATGCATGTTATTTAGATTACTGTTGCAATTTTAGAGTATTTATTGAATTCGTAGCTTGTGGTAGAAATGTTACTGATCTTTTAGCATCAAGGTCTCCAATCAACTTCTAGGCGGTAGGAGTGCGTGTTTTTCTCTTGCTTGAGCATTTTTGTTGTTTGGTATTTCGCCGTTGGTATCTGGAGTGCTAATATTTACTTATATTATATGTCCTACGTAGGTTGGAAATGTAGTTAATTATACAAGTTGACCATCATCACGTGGATAAAAATAGACAATCTTTGATCTGAAGACTAGAAACTCGAATGCTTTCTTCTTGGAGTTTGGCATGGAGTTCGCTTCTTCAGGAAGAACGGCAAATTCTTATTTATTTTGATATCCTGCTACTTGCACGTTATCTTTGGATTCATTTGCTTTACTGTATAAAATGCATCTTATAGCACCTTCAGTCATACTTTTATCGCACAGTCTTTGCGGTTTCTTTTATGGCCAATGCCTGGCCGATTGTCGGGTGTCGATGACCCACCAACTAATTTTAGTTCTTCAATTATCGTATTATATATTTATCTATAATAACAA